GTTCAAATTTTATTTCATCTTTTCAGATTTATACCAAAGAGCCACGTCATAATTAGGTTCAGAGTAAATAGGCAGCAGTACGAAAGATGAAAACTACGCGTATAAACGATTTTGAACTGGATGTGACGTAGTGTGGAGGCATATTAGCTTGAACGCTACTCATATACGTACTCTTGTTGAAAAGAAGTTATTAATGTTTCATTATGACCACTCATAAAAATTATTTGTTTAATGGTAAAACCACCCCCTTCATAAGTAAGTGAACTAGTGAGATTCGGTTCGAATAAGGAAACTCACAAAGAACTACTACAGACCTACAGATATATTACGTACCTTTTCGAAAACGTACATAATGTGACAATGATTGATATTTTTAGGTAAGCGGGCCCCCTGTGAAAAATTCGAGCGCTTTTTCGGAAAGTCCCTAACAAATTGCAAAGGGATTATCATTATTTGCGCTAACGTATATGTCCCTCAACCGACGATAAAAAATTTGGTTTTATAAAGAAAAGGTCTCACAATAAATTTCTTTTCTTTTTCCCCATGTACATTTCTTTTAGTGTCAAATGAAGTTACACGTGTATAACGAGAGACGTTGTTACATAGATCGTGGTGGGGGTCAGTGGAAACCAGGTGAAAATGACCCCAAAAAAATGGTTTGGGGGGGGGGGTGAGGGACTTATGAGTGCTGCCGGATATAGACCAGTACAACGTGCCGAAAGTTGGTTACAGGGGTGACAGTGTACAGTTTCATATTTGGGTGTTTAAGACGGCCAGTCAAACCACCGACATTCCGAGCCGAAGTGTTACGAACAGGAGATAGGGAAGTTCACTCTTACTCAGGAGACACCCGGCGGGAGAGTGTGGGAAAGAAACGAACATGAGTGTGACGTGACGCAGTGACAGGACGGACGGACAGTGGACAAAATTATTGTAGTGCGACGACGACCAAACGTGCCACCCAGTCGCCCTATAGTTGTTTGTGGTAGTTATGTAATAGGGTCCGACAGTGCCACGTATGATAATCGGGGTTGCAGACGACAGTAAGTTCCGTATGGCGAGAAGAGGGCGGATATAGGAGAGTGTTGTCCGAAGCGACGTGATGGCGTCGGAGTGGCGGCGGCTAGCGTGAGCCGGATGTGGTGCCTGGGCGTAAATCTGTGACGCTGAGAGAGCAGTTTGGAACCAGGCGCGTGGCTGGGTGGTGTGCTTAGGGCGGGTTGACTGGGACGCGACTGGAGTGGGGGTCCGTTGTACCCCGGTCTTCCGCGAGCTCTTGGGGTCGACGCCGTCCCGACCTCGGCTGGGGTTATCCTGTCGTCACGACCTATCTCGACCGCGGCCTCTGTTTTAATCTCGTCTGGCGACCCCTTCCTCCGCCTCGTCCGTTCACATCGTAGGTCCCTCCCCAGCTCCGGGCGCTTCCGTTCTTGAAATGTCTTATCTTCCGAGTCTTCCGGTCTCTATATGGTCTGCTTATGGTCTCCTCGACCTTCTCCTTGCCTTCGTCCGCCTCTCTTCTTCTTCCTTCCTCCTTCTCCTTTCTCTGCTGTGTGTCTCTCCTGCGGGTCGCGACCTCGACGTGGGTGTCGTCCATATACCTTTCTGACATATCCATATCGCCGTAGTATTACTCCAAAGATTACCGATCTACCGTTGTCCGGTAGACCTGTCCGTCCGATTGTTCCTCCCGTCCGCCTCGACGACAACCGGAGGAGGCAGGCGGGAGACCGTAATTGGTGTAGATAGCTTGTTATCCAGGGAACCTCTTGTCTACTACCCAACTCACTATCGTTGTATGTCTCTCTTGGAGGTGAGTTCTCTTCTGTGGTATTGCTTCTGGACTAGCTGCTACTCGCACCTCCCGAGGAGAGGCAGGTGTCTCTCGCGGGGAGGACGGTGCGCTCTGAGGGGCGTTCTGCAGGTGGCTGGGGAGGGTCATGCTCTGTCGAGGAGGGCGCGACAGGGGGCTCAGAGTCTCTCTGGAGGGTGGGGGGACCTCGGACCCTGACCCCCCCCTTCTTCCACCTGTAGCACGTCCGTCGACAAGTTACGTCTTCGACGACGAACTGCGTCTCCGCCGACGAGCGAGCGACGACGAACGACGTCGCCCCCCACCCCCAAGTGCGACTTTCGGACGGAAGGTCTCTCGTCGGACACCGGCGTCGGACGACGTCGGGGAGTGTTGGAGGGGAGCCCGGTGACAGTGGAGGCAGTCATACAAAAATGTAGTGGATGTCTCTTCATATAATTATCCGGTGACCCTCCGAGAGGGAAGTGTTTCCCCCTTATACCATGTCTCTATCCACCTCAAATTGTACACAACCTTCTGACCTATCTGCCAGTAAAGGTCGAAACTCCTACAGTTAATTGAATCATGTAATGATAGACATATAATGTAATGTCTCGCTGTTTCTTATAACCTGTATGTCCCTTTTCTTACCACTCAGTCTTATCTTAATATAGTAGATAGTCGTGCTGTGTGTCTAGGTGTGTGTGTGTGTGTCGTCGGTGTGTGTGTGTGTCGGTGGTGTGTGTGGTGTGTCGCTGTCCACTCACACATACGCTCGCGTGCTGTAAATTGAGATGACAACGACGAATTGTGTTAATTCGGTTTTAGTTCCAAGTCGAAGTCCCTCTTGTCTACTTATTTATCGTGCGAACTTCATTATATTTCCCGAGCAGACCTGTTACCTCCACCTTTGCTTATGGCTAAATTGTTCTATTTTTTTTTTTTTTCCTATCCCCCTGTGTGCCTTGGCTACGTCTCAGATTCTTTTTTCTTTTAAAGAATTTAAAGTAAAACGGTGTGGGTTACTGATATTTAAATTATAATTTTGTGGGTGAAATATTCTTCTTAGGCTAGACATTATTTCAACTTAGTACATTAAGTCTCTTTGGCTGACCCTGAACAAACCAATCCAAAGTAATGTAAAAAAAGGCAAGTCATTGTGCAACAGTGACATGCATAAGAATAAGTTTAACATCAATACAATGCAGGAGGAGAGCTTAAAAAAAAAAGAAAATTGTAGCAAAGTACTAAAAAAACAAAAAAAACACCCACAGTGACTGGAGGGAAATTAAAGGAGGCAGCAGAGTGATGAGTGGGGGCTTCTTGAGGATGGACCAACTCCTTTTGCCGCTGAGATGCAGAAGTTGATCCACAGATGAGGATCGGGGGTGTAGACGACCAACTCATGGCAGAGAAGTGAAGTCTTGGTCAGGAGGTCCACTGTTCTTCTTGTCAATTTTTGAAAGGAAAGGCCATAGTATACAGTGCTATTGTCTTTGTAAATGTATTCCAAAGTGATATGCTATAGGACACAAGGCTGAGTGTTTGTATATAGCAAATGTAAATAACTTGAAATTTTAAGACCGTTTAATGAGTGCTGGTGGTGTTGGATGATTTGTACTTTCACACCAATCCACAGACCATAATAATGGCACTCCCAATCACCCATTTCAATAAAACTGTACAGTGAGAGAGCGCATCATTGTAAAAAATCTAATCTTTATTTAAGTTTTCATGACTCCAAAAGATGGATGCACACAAGAAAAAGCTGGGGTACAATTTAAAGTGCAAGAAGATATGATTAGTGATCAGCAATAAGGAAGATTGCCTTTATCATAGTAGAGTAAAATGAAACAAACAGGAATATACAATCAAAAATCATTCAGTTATCAGCTTTTTTCAGTAAAAAAGTGTTGAGATAAATACACATGGAAACAGTTCATTCCGCATTTCCTTTGTTATGCTTGATTTTCTTCCCCTTGAAGAGCTGTAAACAGACAAAAATGAATCCATGCCAGTTCAAGGCAACCACATTATTCTGCGTTAGGTCACGCGGAAACCAAAACCCAAGCACGCTCACACATTAGGAGTAAATAGTAGTAGCTATTGCACATACAGGAATTTAAGCCAAATACTCATAATTGAAACACTATATCAGAGGGAAGTGCTCCGGCTGTCCTCTGTAACTTTGATTACATCCACCCCCAGAGATCAGGACAAACACTGACGACAAGAGCTACAACAGTGAGATATCGAGTGGTGCAGGGATGACGTATTTACCCGGAAGTAAGCAGCGCATGGGTTCCCTCGACAAAAAAGCAACGGGGTATCTCCATAGGATTTTGGAAAATAGCACGAAATAAGGTCTGTGGAAACGAACCCGTTTGATAAATGCACGTTTTGTTCAGCTGGATAATCTCCACATGTCTACCCTACTTTTATAATTTTCGAATCATAAATCTAATCACCAGAAGCAAAATGCTAAAGTTATGCTATAAACGAACTACAGCTGAGTACAGCAGGGTCGCACGACTTCAACGTCACACCAACTTAAGATCGATATTCAGAAACACATATTCAAAATGGTGCAAGTTGAAGCGTTTGGTTTAACAGTTTGCAGGAAGCAGGTATTTGCTTTCAAGCAGAACAGGGCAAACAAACTTAGCGGGAGTGTTTACGTGTTCGGCGTAATGAGGTACAACATCCTCGACAACTTCTGTAGTCCTATTCACTTGTTAACAACTATCGTTTTTCAGACACGTAAAATCTTAAAAAAATCTCCAGTGGGGTCACTGCTGATGTATTTAATGTCGTAGAACAAAACGGGATCAGTCTCTTAAATTTGTGTCAACCACAGACCTTATTTCCAGCTATTTTCCAAAATCCTATGGCGAAATCCCATTGGCTCTGAGACGAGGGTAACATGCCAACTCACTTCCGGGTTCCCGGACTTGTCACTGCACCACTCTATTATGGGATGATGGAGCCGGGCCGGGGGGGGGGAAGTTAAGGGTCATTACTTGGGCTGTTAAGGAGATGATGAACTATACATTACCTGCAAAAGAGTTCTCAGTCCTTTCACAGATCGCAGAATAGTAGGGAGGCTGGACGTCCTCTGGGTTTTCTTCGGCTTGCTGCAAAGTGCTCTGGGCAGACGAAGGGTCCGGGGCTTCCTCGGGCCCCGGCACACCCCTGCTGGTTTTCTCAGCGGGCTCAGCAGAATCTGATTCCTGCTTCCCACAATCGATGTACTGATGTTCTGCGAAGCATGGCGGCGTGTGAGGTTGCGGGATCAGACACGGCTCCTTGGCCTCCTCGGACAGCTCCTCCAGGGAGAAGATGCCGGGGCTCCTGGCGCAGCTCTCCCCTGTGGACTGGGCGTTGGAAGCCGTGGTCATGGTGTCGAAGCCGTATGATGCTAACGATGTAGCGGAAGGTGGGGTGGTGTCTTCACCTGCACGAGCCTCCTCCGTGTCAGCCTCCTCTCCCTCTTCCACGGTGGACAGGCAGCGCTGGGATGGAGATTGGCTGTTGAAGGTGATGTGCTGGCTGACCATCGTCGTCTCCAAGGAATCATCCAACTGAGCCTCTCCCTCCGTGTCGCTGGCCTCGTCTTCTGTTACCGAGGTGGAGGAGGGGTTGGAGGTGGGGGAAGTTGCAGGGCCTCCCAGCACTTCTTCAGCGGGCAGCGTCGTCTCCAAGGAATCATCCAACTGAGCCTCTCCCTCCGTGTTGTTGGCCTCGTCTTCTGTTACCGAGGTGGGGGAGGGGTTGTTGGTGGGGGAAGTTGGAGGGCCTCCCAGGACTTCGTCAGCGGGCAGCATCTCGGCCTCCTCGTGGTCCAGCTCAGGCTGTGGGGAGAGTGCCGGTGCATGCACATCTTCAGCCTTCCCATCTCGATTGTAGTCGCAGAGCTCCTCGGGGGTGCTGGTCTCACTGCTCAGGGTGCTTGACAGAGACATGGGGGGTGCAGAGAGAAGAACCGGGGCCAGGGTCTGCATTGGAGCTAGATCTTGTGGCTCATCTTTGACGGAGGACTGATTGGGAGCTTCTTGGTTTTCAGGAACCAAAGGAGCAGAGCCGAGTTCCAACCAAGCTGAGGCCTGAGTCGGGGTCTCAGGGTCTGCATGCCAGGGGTCAACGAAGGGGTTTGGTTGTTCCCACTGAGCAGCGGGGGCGGAGGGGACCTGAGGACGGGGAGGCGGGGGCTCGGCCACTCTGTTCAGGTTGTCCAGCCTTTCATCTTCAGCAAAGTCATCTTCATCCGCATTCCCATAGCTTTCCAGCCCGCTCTCTGTCACGCCCTCACTTGCCATTTCCACATCTTCGTCCTCCTCCTCTTCATCATTCGCGTCGTTATCATGCCGGAGTCTCTGCGGCTCGTCGGCCCGCTCCGAGCCCACGTCCATGTCACACACCCGGTCGTCGTCAAAGTCATCGTCCTCATCGAAGTCATTAGCCGGTATGTCGGGGACCTTCTCAAAGTCAGGTGACCCCGCTGAGGCCCCTTCCATGTCGATGGCTCCCTTCAGACTGCCGTCCCCCAGGTCGTCCATGCTTTCGGTGCCTTCCAGGACCCCGGGGGCGCTCAGCTCCGACGCCCCCTGCTGGCTACCGCTCACCTCCTCAGAGTCGAGCTCAGAAAACAGGGCGCCACCGGCCTTCCAGGCAGACCCTCCGACGGGTCCTGCCGAGCCGGGACGAGACTCCTCTGTGGGCTGCGTGGTTCCACTCATCTCAGACACAGAAACCAGCTGGCTCCCCTCCCTCTCCTCCTCCTCCTCCTCATCCTCTTCCTCATTTAGATTGGTGGGAGGAACTTTCAGAGAGAGGGAATTTGCTGCTGCTGCTGCTGCTGGGAGGGCTTTAGACGTGGAGGGGGTTTGGTAACCAGGCTCCTCAGTGTAATCTGGGGGACAGGCCACTGGTGGTAATGCAGGCTCGGCTGGGGCAGGGGTCTGTTCCTGCGTTGTTGGTGATAAAGCACTGCTCTCGTTCTCCATCAGAAGTGTGGGTGTTTGTGGTAAGGGTGGGTTGAAGGGGGTTCGTGGAGGAGAGGAGGCAGCTTCCTGTCTTACAGCAGTCTCTTGTGGCACCACGTCCTGTGTAGTACTCTGGGACAAGACAGGGGGAGTCTCCACTGCTGCACCTGCACCACCGGCAGCCCTCTGTGCTCCGGCAGCAGCTTTGAGAATACCGGAAACACCGGCCTTCTTTGTGGCAGTGAAAGGAAGGACAGCCTGAGTGGGTTTGGTTCTGCGTTTTGCCTGAGGAGTGCTGCTGTTTGCAGGTCTGTTGGCTGGAGACGCAGGTGGGGATCGTCCAAAAGACTGTTTGTTTTGGGCCAGGGACAGAACCGAAGTTACAGGTTTCTTGGTGGGAGTAGATTTTGCAGGAGCTTTGGTCTGTGACACCTTGGGGTCTGCTGCCTTGGTTGTTGTGGAACATTTGGAGGCAGTGTTGAGATTTACGGGGGCTGTGGGGCGAGGGTTTTTCTTGGCATCAGCGGCTGTCGTAGCTGCTAGAGGTTTATTTGCAACTGTAGCAGAAGTTGGGCGACTGACATCTAGTGCAAAGATAAACAACAAACGTCAATTCACCAAATCTGTCAAAAATAAGCATTTTGTACTTTACCCCTGAGGCTAATCACCCACATTTTAAGACACATTAAAACCCTCAAATCCATCACAGTTATGTAAGCAACCTGAATATAACACGGCTTCAGAACAAGGCGTAACTCCTGACCTTTCTTAGCAGCTACAGTTCTGGGAGGCTGTGCTGCGGTGGTCCTGCCAGTAGGGGGGGCTGTGTTGACTCTAGAGGCAGCGGTTCTGGCAGCTGCAGTGGTGGAGGGCTTCAGTGCAGCTGTTGTGGGCCTGGATGTGGTGGATGCAGGTCGAGATGTTGAGGGAGCTGTAGTCGGCCTGGAAGAAGACCACAAAAGATATGTTAACAAATGCTGAAGGATAAAAAAGGAACAAAAACAAGCTGAAGCAGCTTCATCTCTGCAGTCGATTCTCTTTGTTGGCATTGATCCAAACATGAAATCTGATGCCCCGCCTCTACATGCATAAATTAATGACCTGTTCTGCTGTAAACCACAAAGGCAATTTCCACAATAGGAACCCATTAACAGAGCACCATCAATCTATGACCACACTTTTATGCCTCCTTCATTATCTGCTCACTTCCAAAAGGCTAGGCTGTAATGAGAAAGAGGATTACAGGGGGAAAAGATGAAATATGGAAAACTTGAATTGGAGCAAAGGAAAAAGGTAATGCAGAGGTAGGAGATGAGAACTGGGGCAGCGAAAGTAACAGATCAGAGAGGGGGAAAATGCTGTGTGATGAGTGATCGCATAGACAGCAAAATAACAAGGAGGAGGAAACGAAGAGGGGAAGATAATAGCTAAGGACATCTAGAGCAGGGAAGAAAACTGCCTTAAAACCATTCCTGCTTTAAGCTCCTGGTCTAAGAAGGAGCTCTTATGTGACACTGCATTAATCTACTCAATCACTACAACCGGGGCCAAACATTCCTTTCCCCACTTTCTCGGGCTTCAATTATGCTCCTCTCCTCAATGTTGAAGTGTGCCCTTCCATTGGTGCAGACACACTGTGGGCAACTTCAAAATCCTACTTAACATTTGTATATGTGTCAAAAACAGGCAACTAGGTCTTGAATCAGTAAGTTCAAAGTTTTCCAGGGCCTGAAAAAGAAACCAGACCTCAATTTGATCAGTGACCATGATATGAGGAGCTGTAACCTACATAGAGGTTTGAATATTGCTTATGCTGTGCTATTCTGGGCTCTGTAAAATCTCCACACAAAACATTCGTCTTGTCAGGCTCCGAGAACTTGCTGCATTGGCCAACCTACAAACAAAGTCAGCCGGTTAAACGAGCGAGTCGTCAGCTGCAGGCGGTTCTGGTATTCATCTCTACACTTTAACCCTGGTGTGCAAAGAAACAATTCAAAACCTCAGTACTGTACATCATTTGTACAACATCGATGAACTTTTACAACAATCAAAAATGTACGGTAATCGCTTTAAAAACTATGTGACCCCACTAGCAATTACAACAATGTCTTCTGTTGGACTTGGTCTGCCGACATGAGCGCCGACTTTGAAGACTTCAAGCAGAGCAGCATAGCATGCCTGCACACAGATGCCGCTCCCACATTACAATAAGCATTACAAAGACCATTTGTTTCCCGAGGATCAGACGTCCACTGGACAGACAAAGACTCAGTGCGGAATTGGAATTGGATGCCCTTAGACAGAAGTTAGGGTAATGTGAAGTGTAGCCAAAACTCAGAGATGAAATCTGTAAATGTCGGGTAATGATAAACAAAGAAAAATAAAAATAAAAATACATGCTGTTAAACGGCAAAAAGGCCACAAGTCTGAACTTTTGAGCAGAAAAATAAAAATCGTAGGCAAGATCAAAAAGGTGCAGTAAATGAGGCCTTTTTTCATATCTACTCCTGGATACAAGCAAAATAGGAATTGACAGCAGAAATGAAAGAAGAGATGATTGAATGAATGCATTTCTCCTAGGAAAGAGTGAGTGATACTGAAGGATGAAATTAGACCAGGACACAGAAAGTGAGATAAGAGTTAAGGGATGGGAATAAGGAGGGTAAGGGGGGGCCACGGAGACACAATAACCCCATCCATTGTTTTATGACGAGTAGTAACTCATGAAACGGTTTGATCCAGAGGAGACGGACAAACCCAGTAAAGCCTGTGCGTGGGTGGTGGTGGTTCTGTTGGTGTTTTAGTATGGATTATACTTCCTGCCAACAGAGGGTTCAAATCAATACAAATGGCAGTCCAAAGAGAGGATTAGAGGCACTCCACAGCCATCTACAAGTTAATGACCAAACACAGGGTGCTCTTGAGGACAAAGGTCAGCAAAGGGACAAGTAACTGATCCTCTTTTGTTTTTACAGACAAATCACAAATGTTTATGGCGGATGCAAAAAAAAAAAACACACCCATACTGAGCAGCTGCAACATCGGTTTGGCCAAAGAGTAAACATGAGCTAGGGGCTTTTGTTAAGCCACACCTACCCAATCCATTCATGACTCCCTCATCATTTATAAAACAAGAAAAAGCTAGGAGGACGGATTACCTTGGCGTTTTGCTCTGGTAGATTAACATTTTTCAATTTTAATCAAGCCAAAAGGGACCAATAAGAGGGCTTGAGAGGGGGAACACTTTTATTCCTGCACAGTAAGCCCATCCTACGAAAAGAAAAATACAGTCTTAGTATTCATTTTTCTGTCCTTGACCCTTCTCTCCCCCTCCCTTCACCACTTCAAGGGTCCCCTCCAAGACAACAAATTGAAATGGAGCCGCTAACAATACCTTGTTTGGCTTGTACGCCGTCCAAAATCAGCTGCTTTACTCCTTACCGAGAGGAGCTCACATTCCCAGGGTTAGTGTGGGCCTACAGTTATCTCCTTGACAATTCAGAGTAGAGGCCTGAATCGGCTGAGTGAAAAGCTGTAATGAAAGTCTGCAGCCTAGCAAAAGTATGGCAGACACTGTTGGCTTTTATGAGGCCCTGGGCACCCGCTGTCACTGTGATGGATGCCATGGGCCTCTTCTGTTAGGACAGTAATCCAGCTCTGCACCAAGTCGGGGAGAAATGACAGTAACTCCAATGGGCTGGATAGAAATGACAGTAACTCCAATGGGCTGGATAGAAATGACAGTAACTCCAATGGGCTGGATGGAATTAAGGGGAGATGAGAGAGGGAGAAAACTGACAATAAAAGTGCAAAGAAAGTGTGTTGAGCAACAACGAGCCAAGGCCATAGCAATTCTTTACATTCAGTTTTCAATAACCATGGAACACTCAGTTTCTGAGAGACCACAAAGTATTCCCATTCCTAATCAGGAACCATTGAACATATCATTTTACAAATTGTTCATCAACACCGCTTTGCTTCTCAGGATACACAACAACACCCTGAAATGTACATGCTCAGTGTGCAGCTAAATGATGGAGCAAGAAATATGGGGACAGCTCGATGGAAGTAAGGTTAAGAAGGGCTGGAGGAGATCTTGGCCACATGCCCAGCACTGTACATGCACAGACGGCAGGGAGAGAAAATGTTTAAGAGAGGCGATAGAGAGAGGGGGTGGGGAGGACAAAGACTGATTGCTCAGTCAGTGCAAGGACATCATAACCCACCACTGGAGGAGAGGAGAGCAAAGCAGGTGCCAGATTCTACAACATTTGGCTTCTACTCCAGTTATTAAGGGTTCAAATCGACCACTGACACAGAAACATCCTCCTGACCTGAGAGTAGTTTGGCATGGGATGGGGGGGAGATGTTACATATCTGTGATAGGGAGGGAAAAGGACATTCTACTGCTAATGAAATTTTAAAAGAAAAAACACATGAATGTGTCATTCAGATGGATTCTGGGTGTGCACCTGCATGATAAACTCCAAAGGAACACAAATCAACCCACAGCTGAAACAGCTCTGCATACAGTCATGGGATGTTCAGCACAGATCCAGCATCTTACTCCCATTTCAATTGATCAAATCTTATAACCCCCCCCCACCCATACATTGGTACAAATCCTATTTCCTGGAGTTTATACCTAAACACAAGATCCTATTTGCCCATCACAAAAAACAATTATGGTTTTGTACATTCCTCCCCGTAGGCCAATGAATATTAATACTTAATGAGGAAGGCTTTATGTTGGCCCCAGGCAGTGTGTGCTGCTCGAATTTCAGTAGCATGTAGTGTTTCTTTATCGTTTACCTCAAGAGATTTCCATGAAAGAGAGTTTTAACTTGCAGATACTGGGCTTTTAAAAGTTAAGGATTGTTCCTGTGTGGCAGTTGGGGCAGCAATGACTGGCGTTTCAGCAATTTGAGAAGCAATTAGTCTGGGCTTGAATTAGAAAGAAGGCTGTAAAAAGTACAATTATAGGTTGTGCAGTACCTTTGTGGAAGCTGGTCATAAAAAACACTCCTTCTGTACTACGTCAAGACCTTAAAATGTGAAGGTACTATTTTTGCCGCAGTACTGCAGGTACCTGGGGGCTCAAGACCAATGGCCTCCCATTGTGCCAGGGAGTGGACCAAACAAAATATTTATGTGGTGCAGTTTACACCAGCCTATTTTCTCCATGATAATGCAACACACATCTATGTAGAGATTGGCAGGATGACAGCTGAGGTGTTCAAATGTAATCTATTCAAATTGAGATAAAATTAAATAATTACAACTAAACAAATTGAGCAAAATGAAATGGATGAAAAGCAATTATAACTTTAAATTCCTTACAAACGCATGCAAACTGGAACTTTAAAAAAGAGTGCACGTTGTAGTAGTGGGTTTATGTCTTGTTTGATTTTTCATTGTAGTATTGAATTGTGGATCATGGAATATCACTGGTATTGGCGACTTGATATCTAGTATAGCAACATCCCTGGTTGCAGCTCAATAATCTCTTACGGTAGTTTGGTAAATCCTTTAACTCCATTCCATTTCATGCGTTTCTCTAGATGGTCAGTGCTACCGCTGTCCGTGTCATGACTAATGCAAGCCGCTGCTTGAGCTGACATAAGGTCCATTGGTGTTACTGCCAGTGAGCCAGCACGAACACCGACTGCAAAGCACACCACTACTACTGTTGCTACACAAGGGATTGGACACGCCACTGACTTCACATGCAGGTGGCACGAAATGCAACGCGCCTCATCTGTCACAAGGGCAGACACTGCTGCTGTTCCGCTGTAGTCCTCTCTGTGTCTCAAGCTGAGAGGCGAGTGCCATGTCACGTTGATGGAAACAAGCCAGGAAACGGTCTCACCGGGATGTTGTGCTACTGTAATCAGACTCCAACACATGAAATGGCTCTACTGAGTATTCAGAGGCTGCCTTACGCCATCATTGTTTTAAGGCCTGGCTCAGGTTCAACTCTTTGTAAAACTTGAAAAAATACATAAAGGGAATGATTGCCTTTGACATTCTTCATTGACAATGGCTTCCACTAATTTTGTTCATCTTTGTGTGTATGAATTATACTTTTTGGATGAATTAGTAGAAAAAGAAAAAAACATTATCCAGTCTGATTGTAGCCAACGAGGGAGGCATTTCGCTTTTTTCTCATCTCTGTTGGGAATTGTATGCGTGGTGCCGCTCGGGCAGGATGTATTGATTGGGTATTGAGAGAGACGTGTTGTTAATGTTCCAGCGTACCGTAAATGAGCTCAGAAAGGATATGACAACATGATATGCGATCAGTGCATAGATTTGTATACTTGCCGATTCCCTATCCAGCATTTAAGGTTTGAGTATTACTTGAATATTGGAAGGATGGATCAGCATTTAATATTATAAGATAATAGAAGTGGGAAAAAAGGATAAAGATAAAAAGCATTGTTCTGTACAAGATAGGAAATTTGGAATAATATGTCATCAATATAACAAATTGGTGCCATCTTACATTAAAAAAAAGGCAGATATTTAATTTCTGACAGCAAAAGAGCATCATGAACCAGTGCTTCCTCAGCAAACTGAATGGCGCAGCACGTTGATTCTTTATTTGATTAGAGATCATTAAGAGGGACGACAAGGAGCGATAATCTTATCAAGCCTCTCAGTGCGGAACACAACATCCTGTGGAAAGACGTCGAGTCCTGTATAATACATCTGATGCTCTATCCACAGAGACAGATCACTTCATTTACTCAAATGCCTATCACTAATCTAATTCAAAACTTGTAATCACAATTTAAAAAAACATTTGAAGAAACCACCAGCTGATAATAGGCCTGTCGCGATAATCAATAAATTGACTTATCGTACGATAAATAAAAATGGACTCGATAACTTTTCTGAGCTCAATAAATTGCTGTTTACATGCGTGTTTGTTTACATAAGGATGTGACCAGCATTTTAGCCAGGCGCGCTGTGGCTGCCAGCCCGGCGCGCTGTGAGGGGCGGGGCTCACACACAGCCAATGACACAGCCAGGTCAGGACACTCCGCGTGCAGCAGTGTAGCAGCCAAATGAATAATATAGAAACAAGCAGGAGACAACGTGTGACTTACTCGAGGGGAATTTGAAGTTAAATGGAAGTGGTTGCAAAACCTAATACCACATCTCCGGTGTGGAAATACTTTGGATTCTTTATTCCTTCTGGATCCTTATTGTGCCCTCCAGTGTTACAGCTGAATCACAAGGCCTGTCGCGATAAGCAATTCCTTGACTTATCGTACAATAAATAAAAATAAACTCGATAACTTTTCTGACCTCGATACATTCCCATTTACATAAGGATGTGACCAGCATTTTAGCCAGGTGCGCTGTGAGGGGCGGGTTCACACACAGCCAGGTCAGGACACTCTGCGTGCAGCAGCGTAGCAGCCAAATAAATAATATAAAATAGAGACGAGCAGGAGACAACGTGTGACTTACTCGAGGGGAATTTGAAGTTAAATGAATTGGTTGCGAAACCTAACTCCATCTCCGGTGTGGGAATATTTTGGATTTAAGCCAAATCAACGAGGCGAACCTACGGACTTGAATGAGCCGGGTAGAAAAAAGGTAGATTCAAGCTAGCAATACCTTAAACTGCACCTGAAACACAACCACCCCATTCCCCCAGCTGGGAGCAAACACGGCAGCTGGAGAGCCCCCACCTTCCCGACAGTTTGCAATCAAAGATGCATTTGCCCAACAATGCAAACATGTTGTTCCCTGCTCGAAATCTTTGAAATGCAGATTTGAATATGGCCTGTTGAGGCATCTGGGTCTTTGTATGGCCAGTGGACTGTACACCTGACTGTTGTTTTAAGGAGGATAGATAGATAGATAGATAGATATAGAGAGCTCTGTTTTCCAGCCAGAGTCTATTTAATTGATTGTGTTTTTTTAATTAATTTGTTATAATTAAATGTATTTGTTTTATTTATTATATATCATTTATATATTTGAATATTATTTCACATTTCATTTGCAATGTTCAATACAAAGTTCTGTTTGAAAGGATGTACTTGAATTATTATTATATATTATCATTATCTCAGTGGTCTAAAATGGTCTTACAACGATGCCGACAATATTATCACTTATCGCAATAATTTCCGGGAAAATGTATCGTCCAACAAAATTAATTATCGTGACAGACCTAGCTAATAATATCTTACATTTGATCAAGTTGAAAGTCTTTACTAACAAGAGCTTTATTGTCCAAATTGCGCTTAATCAACCGGGCCAACAATGAAAACTATGACAGCGAGAAATGGTCATTTGATAGGAGCACTTAGAGAAAGTTTAGTCCAACTGCAGCCCTCTCTTTCCACACCAGCAGCTCAGTATGAGGGATTATGAGTCCAGTCAATAGGACCCTGCCCTGGGGAGGTGGGGCTGCTTTCTGCCAGGGGGTCTGTTTGGGACAAAGCGGTAGTTCTTCAGTATCGCTGCCTCTCTTAAGGCCCTCTGTCTCAGGTTATTCCTGCTAACATGACTCACACTCATGAAGCGTAATCTGACTCAATAACAGCCCAAAGACCACAATGGACATGGTTCTGCGCTGCTCTCTTTCAGGGCATCACCATAGACAAAGTCGCCCTGTCATCCAGTTTGTAGGGGATTAAAAAGTGTAGATCTCACAGGAGGGGGAAGATAAGTGTGAATGACTGAAACATTGCAGAGCGTGAAGAAAGAGAGGGGAAGTGTTATTGTAAGTAAATGTAAGTTCCCAACCGCATAACTTTATTCTAATGTCCGTGTTAGAGCGCTCTTAGGAGGCTGCACCATTGGCCGTAATTACACTTCATCACACCTGCTGCCCGTTTGTAATAAAACTGCATACCTTGTTGTCTTTGAAACTGCCGAGGCGACTGGTTTCGTTGTTGCACCAACAGCTTTTGACGTGGTTGAAGTGCTGGGTTTTGAGGCAGTGGAGGCCGCTGCTCTGCTGGCAGGAGCTACAAAAAACATGGAAGAACATAAAATGAGTTTGCAGAGAAAGCCAAAAAAGCTGTAGAAAATATTGGTAAAGAATACTACACCCCCAGGAATGATCTTTTGTATATCAATAAATCACCTAGTGTTACCTTGACTTCTTGAAAAGAAACTCAATAATCTGACCAAATGATTGAGGAACTCTAGTAAAAGAGTCTCACCCTTGCCAGTAATGTTAATTGCGAAGTATTATAATGTTTTTATTTAATGAGTTTTGTGAGAGTTAATAAACAAAGCCATCAAGCCTTTAATTCATTTTTGGTTTCTTTATTCGCCGTGGAAGCATGCGAGACAAGTATTATTCATTTGATTTCAGTTGTCCGTATGTCAGTCAGACTAACCTGTGGTCTTGGGTCTCGCGCCAGTCTCAGCTACTGGTCTCTTCTTAGGAATGCCATTCACGGTGGTTGGTTTGGTGCCATTTGTTGCTGTGGACGCAGCAGCGGAGGTAGACCTAGCTGTTCCTACAGGCTTCTTGTCTGGGACTCTAGATAGGGTCTTGACCGTGGAAGAAGCTGCTGCCCCCACAGGTCGTTTAGGTACGCCCCCCGCTGCTGATGCTGTTTGTTTTATAGTTGCCGTTTTCTTGGCTGCAGCTGCAGAGACATTCGCAGAGGACTTGACGTCAATCAAAGTGCGGTGCGAGGAAGTGCCCGGCCTTGATCCAGAGGGTCCTGCAGATTTGGCTGCGGGCTGTGTTTTGGTTGAAACACCTTTTGGTTTAACTTTGGAGTCTGTTGCCACTGGCTTGCCGTTGCCCTTGGGAATGGTTTCAGGGGCTTCATCAATGGCCGCTTCCTCTGGTTGCGATGGGGCTTCCTCGGTTGTGTTGTCCTGCAATGAGGAGGGCTCTGCTACTGCTGCATCTTCAGTGGGCTCCGTGGTCTCCATGGTCTCCATGGTATCCCCATCCGGTTTCATTCCCCCCCCTCGTAAAAATAAATAAAAGGTGTGGACGCTGACGTTGCTGCTTACAAAGTCCAGGGGCCCACACACACACACTTCTTGATTGGTCACTTTCTCTCACACTGGGATATCCTGTTGAAGAAAAAGACATATCACAACCATGTTCACTCATAAATTCAAATAAACATATTACTGTCAGCCGAAGGAAGTGCCATGTCTGGCTAAGGGCCTCCAAGGAGTTGGGAGAGTTTAAAAAACAGGAAGTGAGCAGCGAGACATGCCAATGTAAAAGTGACTATGCTGCACATCTAAGAGAACTACCACAGTCATAATGCATCACAATGCGTGAGGTTAATAAATAAAATGAGGAATCTGTATCAAAATACCACAATACAAGGAACTGGATTGTTAAGCTGAACATTTATGGGGCAGAAAAATAAACTGATGACTGCTCCTAATGGCTTCCAGCATCTTGAATTAAAAAGGAAAAAACTGTGGTTTGGACCGCTGAAAGCCAAGAGGGGGCTCCTGACATGACACAGCCCACAGAGAGTGAGGGGAGGGAGGAGGCCGAGCACTAAATGGCCCACTGGTCAGCCATTGTTTCTCTCCCTGTTAAGCAGATGCAGTTCGTAACTGTCACATCGGATTTCGCTCGCTTCACCAAGTTTTATGTGCTTGGAGATTCCTTAATTGACAGTACTAAAGAAAAATTGAAGTTATTGTAGAGAGTAGAGAAAACTGTGATGGCAAGATTTAGAGCAAGTAGATACATATAGGACCTGAACTCATTAACTTCAGTCGATTCTTGTCTTGCCGGACAGAGCTCTTCCCAGATTCATTTTGAGTTTATTTCCCCCTCATCCATTACTCTCTATTCCTTAACCTCTGACCACAGAAGCTTCTCCCCACCCCCTCCTGATTACCTCTCTTCTTCCCTATAGCCACTTGTTCCTCCCCTCCTCCCACTGCCAAAAGATCTGCTTCCAGGAAATGGCTACACATGGTCTAGCCAGTAAAAGCTCTGAATGGCAAAGAAACAGAGGCGTAAGAGATGGATTGAGGAGGAAATCAAAACAGAGTGAGTGGGAAAGTTAAAGAGAAAATAAATAATAGAAATTGACAGAGTAATGGACCAGAACAAAAGGAAGTGAGAGTAAAAGAGAATAGGTTTTTCCTACCATACAAGAATGGCAAGAGTCATGATGATACTGAAAAAACCGAGAGCAATTCAGAGAGAAAGCCGACTCAGCCCTAACAGAGCAAACGAATAAGAAGGTCATGACCGTAGACGATACGTTATATTTTCAAGCCATTAGGCAGATGACTAAAAACATCTTGGAAAAAGTTCCAATGAGTAACCTTTTCCACAGACATGAGATACCGAGTGCATTTATACAGCCTCAGTGAGTCTATACACAAATTGCCTCAAGGAAAAATAATCTGTTTTATTTATCTCCAACAAAGCATTTCCCAAAGACATTTTAGAATGCATTCTTTTAAAGAAGTCCAAAGGTCAGAACGTTTGTTTCACCGCTAGTTATACATTAACATACGAGGTAACGCAATACTTTGGCCCCTTTCCCAGATCCAAAAAAATCTTGCTACTCTTTCACTTATGTTTGAGGTAAAGAGATCTCTGTACATTTAACTCTAGGTACAGTGGGTAACTATAATGACTCATCAATCAAAAGAGAAGTGCATGTATTGACCACTTGAGAAATAATTATTGCTGCTGAGCACTGATTGCACCTCCTGACTACACACACACACTAACTGAAATCCCCCTAAACTCAACTATCCTTCCCTTTCGTGCAGCCATGGAAAAGTTACCACTTGGTGCAAGTCTAGAATTGTTTCCTGCTGCTCTCTTCTGTTGTACTCCGGTCTCTGTATACGAATCTCACACAGAAAGGAAGCCGAGTCGAGCACAGTAACCTCTCTACCAACACAAAATGTGAAGCTTTGAGTCAATTAGATAATTTTCAGAGCTTTTGGGAGGGACAGTGTTGCACATATTAAATCCCATGTCATCACTCCATTCATATTAACGGGAAGCAATTAGCAAATTGGGAACATCAAAAAGGTTAGGGATGTGGCTCCTCAATTGTCCTGCTAGATTTCAAGCTTAACGAGTTGGTACATTCGCGTAAAATGTTTTTACATCAAGTCAGATTTTCTTTTTCCAGAAACTCGAAGGGACACCTCGTCAATAAAAGCCAGTTTATTATTTAAGAAGGATATGATCCAAACGGAATTTGACCGACACTGAAGAGCCTGGCATGGTTTGCCAGTCCAGCTACCAATACTAGGGGATTAGCAGATAGCATCACAGCCCTCATGTGATGACCCCCTTCTGGGCAAGTAAAGCCATCATGTCTAACCAGCTGACACCGTGTGACGCAGCACCGAGGGCAAGTCAATGGATCATTAAAATCCCATCCACACGTACCCACAGATAAGGGATGTTTTACTAAATTAAAGTCAGACTGCTCTGCAGAGCTGGTTCTTGTGTTCTATCCACCAGACCACACTTACTGTTTAATGAAAAAGGGGTCGACCGATTATCGGCCTGGCAGATTATCGGGGCCGATATTCCGCATTTGACCGATTATCGGTATCGGCCTTTTTTTAAATCAAATTGCCGATAAAACTTTGGCTCTGATGCGGCCGTTTCTCTGGCTGCAGTCACCACTCTCTTTACACGAGCAATGTCCCGCCAACAGCGCTATCTGATAGGCTATTACTGAAGTGTCAATCAACACTGAAGATTTTCCGGGCGGGAGCCAGCCAGAGAGGCGGGCAGGCAGGTGCGAAGAACACAGACAGAGGCAAGCAGCAGCGCTGAGCGGCAGAGCCATACATGTGTTTCCAAGGTAAATCAGTTGAAAGCCGAAGTTCAATAAACATCCCAATCCCCTATGCTGAAGTTGCAAAAACACCACGATCTTATGATCCAATTCTATCAGTTTCCCAGTTACACAGGGACGCGGGAAGTCAGTCAGAGTTGGGGGTGCGTGCAGCGTGTCGCAGCGGAGTAACTGGTGCGGAGGGGGGGCTGCGAGTGGAGCCTCGCAGTTTTTCAGGTTGATATGTGAAGCTCATTAGCTATCCAACATGTATCTAGCAAATGTTTAGCAACATATTAGAAGTGAAGCTACTAGACTAACGTTAGGTCTACTGTAATAGCCTCACTTTTAATAGCTTGCAAAACATTAGCTAGCATTAGTGTTTTACAGTTGCTAGCAGCTTATTGGGATGTTATGCTAGATAGACAGGCAATGTTTTGATATAATAAATAAAGCATTATTGTTAGTTAAGCATGTCAGCCTGCAGCCCCACTTTTAACTCCGCTCTCTCTAACTCATTGCAGATGGCTGCACTAAAAAAAAGGAAACTAGTTGTAAGATGTTTAAAAGTTAATTGAACATAATATATGCTTAAATGCATTTCAAAGAAGTTGTTGGAGTTTGTGTTATTCTGCATTTTGGCACCAAGATTTTACAGCAAATGTATATCGGTTCCAAATATCGGTTATCGGTCTCCTGGATTACTAATAATCGGTATCGGCCTTGAAAAAGCAATATCGGTCGATCCCTAAATAATATCTGGCATTTTGGGATTCCCCAAGTGTTTCACACCTAGCTGAGAGCATGTTAAATCTGAGCACTCCTGTTCAATGTTAAAAACTTAACATAAACACATTATTGGTCAAGATGAAGAGCCTCGTGCATTTTGATTACAAATAAAGAAAATCTCTATTGTGCCATTCTCTCGGTTCTAATTTGCATAATAAATCCTAGTTCAATGAAGATTTAAACCATATTCAGGCTCTCTTTCTATCTAGTGCCACATGGATAAGATGACAATTAGCCTAATACCCCTTGTGACAATAACAATGTGTTGCAACTTGCAAGTATTGTGTTGATGCAGACAAAGAACCAAAGGGTGAAAAGACTGCAGCAGTTGAGTCCAGGCGGGAGAAGAGTGCATAAACACAGCTATCACTTTGTAAGCTTGTTAGAGGGAGTCTGTCTAGACACAGAAAATACATAGATGCCATTTACATTCCACTTGTTAAAGATTTATGGTCTTTGTTGTCATTAAATCCAACTCCTGACCTCTGTCTTGAGGCGGTTTAATTACATCTGTCCTTCCCCATCTCTCAGTCTCTGGCTGTACTCGTCCAGACATTACAAGTGGTGCCTGACAAAATGGGTCATTTTTAATACCATGTCTAATACAAGCAGAGGGGGATTTAGCTGTGAGAGGATGGCAGGGGATTGGAATGCATTGAGCAGACTGCTGGAGGTGGTGGTGGGGGGGGGGCTGTGGATACTGATGCTGGGGCTTAATGTCATCTGTAGATTTACCACAGACTGCAGTCATAGTGTTGTAAAACAGCAAAGAGATATCACACATTACAACTGTAAAAGATTGATTGCGTGTCAAAACGCAAGTAGTGAGGGAAATCTAGGAACAGCCATCTTAAATCATCATTTTCCTTTGTGCCCTCCAGTGTTGCAGCTGAATCAGAATCAATTTAGATTACCACCAAAAGTTTGAACACAAATGTATTGGTAAATTAAAAAACATATTCCCATGTAAAATAAAAAAGGCATTTAAGTTGCGCAACCCATAGATTGTGCTTTAGATTTTATTTTATATGACTTGCAATTCATTTTTAAAAACCATATTCGACCCATGCAATGAATCATGATACTTTGATTATCTATTAATCAAAACGATGAATCGTCCATCAAGGAATTTTTTCTGATTATCTGATAACACATTCTTTAGATGCAGCCATCTAGCTTGGCCTCTTCAGTTGCCTGATTTTGAGTTTCTACTTTAAGATCCGAGTCATGCAGCATCTGCTCCAAGGTGATTAATGGCAGAAAGTGAATGCCTGAAAGCAGCAGCAGTATCAAGAGCACATCTGACCCATCCACATTCCAGCTCTGCTGACTTCCTCAAGACTCCTCAGGGCTACAGTGACAGCTGGACGTGTGTGTCAGTGTGTGTAAGAGTAGGGAGTGAAAGGGTCATAGGGTCTAATGAATGCGTGTGTTGTGTGTAAATAAGATGGGGCAGTGTTTAACAAGTGTGAGCAAAGCATGTGTAGGATGAAA